GCAGAGAAGAAAGGGAGTTCAGAATGTGACAGGTACAATGACATCCACGCCACAGAAGAGTGTCCTTGACTCAACTGGACAACTCTGGTTTCCTGAATGGAGAGAAAATAGTTTTCAGCCAATAAAATTTAGGAGCAAAGTTGGGGGGATGTTCTAAAAGCAGAAAATAGATTCGGGGATGGCAGTACACATCTGCTGTGCTCGGCCAACCTGAGATTTCTCTGGCTGCAAAGAACAGAATGATTTCTAAATCTATAAACCTTACTATTGAAAAACCTGAAAATGAATAAAAACCACACACACGGAGTGCAGGTAATGGATGCAGTTATAGCAGAGGATAGAAAGATACTTGTTTTTCTAGTCTAATTCTGTCATGGAGTTTCTGTTTGAGTATCGAGAAAATGCACAAAATGTATCCGATACTGAAAGTGTAAAATACAGTAAGACATTTCACAGTTTCTGTTCCAAGTGCCCATTCTAACTGCATACAGTTCACTGAATTGTGTAGACCTTGGCTCTGGTTAATTTTGGTGTGTGATTTGGAGATGATTTTAGTCAGTCACCAGGGAGTCAAGATGGCTCAAGGTTAACCAGGGCATTGTACAATGGAACATTGGTCACACGGTGTTCATCCTGGAATTTAGCATTTAATATTGCCATGGTGCAGTTTCAAGGAAGTTACCTATGAGTTCCCTTAGGGTGAGGGGCTCCAAATTTGTAACTCCCTGTGCTCCCCTACCTCCAGCTTCCCTCCAAGTGGAGATCAGGGAACCAGTCACAAGAGAGAGACCCAGTTTCCCCCATCACTCGGCTTTGCTTTCCAGAGGTGCCGTCACGTGACACCCATACTTTTATCTCATCTCAGCGGTTTCCGAGAGACCTCAGGTCTCAAAGTTGTCACCCAAAGGACAGGGCTCTAGTCACTGCCACATTCCACTGTTAGACATTTCAGACCCATGATTACTTGCCTGCTTTTATTTAATTTTGAACTGAATAACTGTAATCAAGTGCTGTTTTAATTATACAGCTAACTTCCTCAAAGATCCATAGAAATTTTATGTGCACAAAAAAGAAAAGAAAAAACAAAACAAAAAAGGCAGATATGGAAGCTCCCATAATCCTACCTAGTATTAAGGAAACTGGGGCAGGACCACAGCGTGAGTTCAAGTCCAGTGTGGACTGCGGATGAGAGCCTCTTTCACACAAACGAACAACAAAAGTAATCACAGCAAAAGAAGGGTGCTGGGGTGTAGCTGGGGTAGCTGGGGTGTAGCTGGGGGTAACTGGGGTGTAGCTGGGGTAGCTGGGGTGTAGCTGGGGGTAACTGGGGTGTAGCTGGGGTAGCTGGGGGTAACTGGGGTGTAGCTGGGGATAACTGGGGTGTAGCTGGGGTAGCTGGGGTAGCTGGGATGTAGCTGGGGTAGCTGGGGTATAGCTGGGGGTAGCTGGGGTGTAGCTGGGGTAGCTGGGGTATAGCTGGGAGTAACTGGGGTGTAGCAGGGGATAACTGGGGTGTAGCTGGGGGCAACTGGGGTGTAGCTGGGGATTAACTGGGGTATAGCTGGGGGCAACTGGGGTGTAGCTGGGGATTAACTGGGGTGTAGCTGGGTGTAGCTGGGGTGTAGCTGGGTGTAGTTAGGGTGTAGCTGGGGTATAGCTGGGAGTAACTGGGGTGTAGCAGGGGATAACTGGGGTGTAGCTGGGGGCAACTGGGGTGTAGCTGGGGATTAACTGGGGTATAGCTGGGGGCAACTGGGGTGTAGCTGGGGATTAACTGGGGTGTAGCTGGGTGTAGCTGGGGTGTAGCTGGGTGTAGTTAGGGTGTAGCTGGGGTATAGCTGGGAGTAACTGGGGTGTAGCAGGGGATAACTGGGGTGTAGCTGGGTGTAGCTGGGGTGTAGCTGGGGCAGCTGGGGGGTAACTGGGGTGTAGCTGGGTGTAGTTAGGGTGTAACTGGGGTAGCTGGGGTATAGCTGGGAGTAACTGGGGTGTAGCTGGGGGTTAACTGGGGTGTAGCTGGGGGTTAACTGGGGTGTAGCTGGGTGTAGTTAGGGTGTAAGTGGGGTATAGCTTGGGGTAGCTGGGGGCAACAGGGGTGTAGCTGGGGTGTAGCTAAGGTGTAACTGGGGTAGCTGGGGTGTAGCTGGGGGGGCTAGCTGGCTGTGGTGTTCCCTTGCCTTGCTTGAGAGTTCAGTCCCCAGCCTCCCACAAAGTGGGTGTCACTTGTAATTCCAGGACTGGGGAGGTGAATGCAGGAGGATCAGAATCAAGTTCATCTTTAGCTACAGAAATGATTTTGAGGCCAGCCTGGGCCTACATGAGACCAGGGATCAAAAGCCTTAATGCCAGTTTCCTAAACGAATAGAACAAAGGGCAGTCAGAAACATTAGGTACATTTTTTTTTAATTTTATTTTTTTTTAATTTTATTTTCCAGTTTAAATTTAGATAAGAATCAAGGTTGCTTCACAAGTCAGTTCCAGGTCCCTCTCCCATTCCCTCCCTTCCTCCCGTGCCCTCCTCCCCCCCCCCCCGTTATCCCCTCATTTCTCCAGGGAGGGTGAGGCCCTCCATGGGGGTGTGCATAGTCTGTCATTTCATATAGGGCAGGGCCTAGACCCTTTCCCAAGAGTTCAGGGTGAGAGTGCACCTCACATTGTTCTATTGGAGTCCAAAGTCCGTGTGTATACTTGGGATGGGTACTGATCTGCTGCCCAAGGCTCAGTAGAATCCCTAGGCCTCTTCACTGACACCCAGATTCAGGGGGTCTTGATCAGTCCCATGCTGGCTTCCCAGGCTAATGCCTGGGATTCAAGAGTTAACCTTTGTCTGGTCAGCTGTTTCTGGGGGTTAGACCAGCCCAGTCTTAATCCCTTTGATCATCAGTCCTCCCTCTCTGTTACATTAGGTACATTTTTATCCATTGATTTTTCACATTTCATCGTGTGGCACTGGTGTTTATATCATTCTTTTAGACTCTGTCTCTGTCTCTCTCATCCTGCCTGGCCCAGGGCCTTTTTCCTGCCAGGCAGGCGGTCTATCAACCCAGCCACATCAGTGTGCTCTTACTGTCATTTTAAAATGCCTTTGTCACGGAAAATGGAATAGTTAATTCATCCTTCAGAAACTAAAATTTCTTAGGGATGTTTAGTGTCTTTGGTAAATGGGCTTTGGTACATTACCATTTAGGAATTACTTACTTTTTGTAACCCTGTTAAAACTATGTGGGGAACAGATGTAAAATGACACAAAGCACAATTATGAAAATAGTTTGACACACAAAACCTGCACTTAATTTGCTTCCAAACATTGGTATCGGGCTGTGTCTCTTTACCCTCTCTGTTTCCTCTTGACCCTTAGGAAGAGTGGATTTGACTTTTCTCTTTTCTTTCATTTGGGCCACTGGATGTTGGGATGAAATAGTAGCCAGGGTAGCCAGGCAGTGCTGGGACAGGCAGAGGTGACTGGGCCACTCTCTGCCAAGCCCTGTGGATAACGGATGGGCTGTCAGCCTTGTTGCTGACAAGGCCTGCACTCCCCTCCGCAGGCTCCTCTCCCAGTGGACAGTCTGGCCAGCTGTCTGGGCAGCAGGAATAGCTGTTCATCTCCAAGTGAGACCTGTGGGAAAATCCTCACTGGCCCACAACTAATTCCACTCTGCCAGTTCCAGTCCTGGAAGCTGAAAGGAAACTGGCAGCAGACTCGGGGGGGAGGCAGCTTGCTGGGTGCTGCTGGGCTGAGAGCAAAGGCCATTAGGGCCCCGGACAGCTCATTATTTGTGGCACACCAATGTGGCTTCATATGGAAAGGTGATTTATCAGAGACTGGGGTCTCCCCTCCCCCATTTAGGTTGGTTTGCCTTAGCAGAACACAGTGAAGAATTGTTCTTGTTGCTTCCTTCCCAGAAGTCTTGGAAGTTCTCAGCCTTCATCTCAAAGACAGGCTCCTGACTAACCTTTGCAAGGCCTGCTGCAAGGATGCTGGACCACTCAGCCTGTTCTGAAGCCAAAGAAAGGCTTTGCTGATGGAGGTGTGAAATCCCGCTCAAGGTAGAAATAAGGGATTCCAGATTCTAGCGAATCTGTTCGTCTTGTTTATTATGGCCCTCACCACGGGGAGGAGTCATACATGGTTTGTTTTGCAAATGGAATTGCAAAATCTACCGCCTTTGATTGTTTTTCAGTTTTTTTCACAAAATTTCAAGTAGCTTATTTAGAACTTGCATGTGTGACACATATGGGTATATTTCTTTAAGTGGGTGGCGTAAGCTGCCTTGACCATAATAAAAGTAAGCAATGGGGGGAGGGGCGTGTTTCCATAGGACTTTGGCTTCCTATTCTACACTCCAGTCCACGAGCTCTTTTTTACACTTGTTTATTTATTCGGTGTGTGTTTGTGTCCACACAAGTATGTATGAATACACACACCACTTGAGTAGTGGCCAGAGGACAACTTGCTGGGGCTAGTTCTCTCCTACATTGTGGAGCCCAGGGGTCAAACTCAGGTCATTAGGCTTGGTGACAAGCACCTTTACTTGCTGATCCATTTCCCTGGCCCCCAAACACTCTCTCAGGACGTGTTTCAAGCAGGCTCTGGGCCATATCAGCTATGACAAATTTATTGGTCTTAGGAACTCACATTTTGGAGAAAGAACTCAATACATAAGGAAGATGTGTAATATGCTAATCTGTTTTAAATATCTTTCCTTTTTAAATTTATTTATTTATTTACTATATATGAGAGTTTTTGTCTACATGTGCACACCAGAAGATGGTATCAGATTCCACTATAGACAGTTGTGAGCTGCCATGTGGATGCTGGGAATTGAACTCAGGACCTCTGGAAGAACAGCCAGTGCTCTTAACTGCTGAGCCATCTCTCCATTCCCCTAGAGTGCAATTCATTTTTTTAGACAGGGATTTTTCTCTGTATAACAGTCCTGGCTATCCTGGAACTCACTTTGTAGACCAAACTGGCTTTGAACTCACTGAGGTCTGCCTGCCTCTGCCTCTCCAGTGCTGGGATCAAAGGTGTGCGCCACCACCACCTGGCTGCAACTTTTTATTAGAGATGGTGAAACCTGCCACTCAGAAGCACACAAGTTTGTGTGGTACAGAGAGTGACTGCCAGACTGAGAGCCAGAGAGGAAACAGGAGGCAGGCAGGCAACGGAGAGCCTGTGAGGAAGGCAGGCGAGGTAAAAGGAACAGCGTGCACCCAATGCCTGCCATGAGAGGGAATTCAACTGAGCCATACGCCCAGCAGAAACATGACAACATGGGGGTGACAAGCAAGGCATGCAATTAATTTGTCCAAAGATTTTATAAGATGTTTTCCATTTCATGATTTTGCTTTTTCACATTTATTTATTTATTTACTTTAACTTGGCCTGGATCTCACTTCTGGTATCAATATTCTGGTGAAGACTGCACCAAAGAAAATGCTGAGAAATAGCAGGGTGGAGAGGCTGAGTCCTCCAACATCAAGTTTTTGTTTGCCAGGCATCATCCTCCCTATGATTCTCCATTTCCCCCATACTAAGGAAATCTGGGTTTTCAAGTGATTTATTTATCCGACCTCTGTGCCAGGGGTAAGAAGGGCCAGGAAATCTGTGAGAAAGGCAGGCACCTGCTCTCCTCTCCATAAGATTGGCTGTCTGAAGAGAAAAAAGACAAGAAACAGATCATTCTACCAAAAATAAATAGATAGAACTTATGACAAGTGTTGCAAAAATAAGTTTTTCAAAAGTCATCATCTATATGCATTGTTTCTAAGGATGCATTCACTTTTAATATCTCTTATTTATTCTTTAACAATTTCAAGCGCATATATAATGTATCTTGATAATTTCCACCCCAACCTCCCTCCCCCTCCCACTTCCTGCTGAATGATGTATTTAATAATCAAAGGAAATACGTTGCCTTCGAGGCATTTACGATATAGCACCTGGCGGTAAGATGGAAAGCAAGGCTTGTGAGTTGAGTCCTTAGCGTGTGTTTGGGGCTGAGCTCATGCTTTGTGTGGCGAATCACTCTCTTCTCACTGCTGTAGCTAAACACACAAGGAGTATGGGGCTGCAAAGGCAGCTCAGCAATGCTGATCTTTCAGAGGAGCTGAGTTCAGTTCCCAGCATCCACAGTCACCTGTCACTCCAGTTCCAGGGCCTCCATGGGTGCCTGCAAACAGGTGAGAGGGGCTCACTCCCTCATGCTTCTCTGGACTGGAAATCAAAAAGTGGACAGGAAGCAGGATAGAAGAAGGAGTGAGGTGACTCATCTCCTCCAGACAGGCCCCGCTACAAAAAGCTTCCACAGCCCCTCAGAACAGCATCACCATCAAATACATGATCCTGTGAGGGATGTCCCACATAAAAGCTGGACCACGTGGACAAGGCCATCAGTTTCTTTTAACAAGCTGTGGAGGGTGAATATTATTTTGCCTCTTTGCAAACCAAGTTACTGAAATACTAAGAAGCTAAGTAAGGGCTGGGGAAATGGCCCAGTCAATAAAGTCACTTACTCAGCCAGTTGGAGAACCTACGTTCAATCCCCAGAACCCACACAGTTGGAGAGAACCAACTCCTGAAAGTCGTCCTCTGAACTCCATACATGGATGCACACACACACACACACACACACACACACACACACACACGTCACAAACAGACATATAATAGATTGCATGATAAATCACATAAAAATTAAACAGCTAAGTGATTTGCTTAAGGCTACCCATGTAGCAAAGAAGGGTGGGTTAGAGTCAGCTTGGCAGGTTTCTTTCACCCCTCCCAGGCAAGAAGATGACCCCATCAACACCTCAGGAGAGCAAGGCTACCTCACACACAGGAAAAGGACCACATCAGGTGGCCAGGGCAAATCTGGCTAGAATGTTCTGCAGCTCCCGCAGGCCACATTTGTAGGTAAAAATGTGGTTAGCTGGTATCCTGAGTCTTGACAGACATTACAACACAAATATACTGTCTACTGGGATCCTTCTACTGCACCTGGCCCCAAGGGAGCCAAATCCTTCCAGGGCTTGAAATGAAACCTTGAAAGCCTTCTCGGATTCAGCTTTCAAGGGTTGAGCCCCTGCTTACAAAGCAGACAGTGGGGCAGGTCACTGTGAACATAGGTGAGAGAAGGAGGAACCAAAAAGAAATCAACCTTGGGAGCAGACGCATCATCCTCAGATCCACCATGTGCTGCTGATTGCAAATGGGCCCCAGTGGCTGAATTGTCATTGTCACCAAAGCCTGGTTAGTGCTTGGGAGTGCTACTGTTTTCAGTAGCCCTGTCCAAGTCTCCAGGCACCCGAACAAAGTAACAATTTCAAACTGGTGATAAGCAAAGAGTCGGGAGTGTAGCTCAGATGGAGAACCAAGAGGAAAGAAAACAAGTTTACACCTCCGTCATGGCCAGAAGTCCCGTTCTGAAAGTTTCCCAGAACCCACAGCTCCACTCAAATGACCCCTGAGTTGGGGGCTCTTGTCAAGGTGATGTCAGCAGCAGCTTCTGGGAACAGCTGGGGCTATGATCTCCATCTCCAACAGGTCATTAAGTTTGGCTTTCTAATCGCCCACTTGAAGGACAGAAAGAGAACACTAACCAGAGTGACCATGAGGGGCCTGCACTTGGCCTCCTGCTCTGGCCTGGAGGCTGCCTCCGGGTGCAGGCTTTTTTTAGGCACTCCAATGGAAACAATTAGATAGTCTCTTGGCCCTGAGTGAGGTCTCTATCCCACAACTCTGGGGGGGTCTGTTTAACATGAAGCCAAGCCTGTGACACATTCAATTCACTCCAGTTTTATTTTACCTTGTTGAAGAACAGGGACTCACTATACAACACAGGGTAGCCTAGAACTCACAATATAGCCCAGATTGACCTCAAACTCATAGCGCTCGGAGTATCTCAGTCGCCCGAGTGCTGTGGTTGCGGCAGTGAGCCAGTGTATTTGTCTTCCAAAAGCTCCTTTGCCCATGACTGAAGACTCTTAACTATTAACAAAGCCCCCCTTTCACGTCATTTGCCTATCATTTGCTCTTTAACAAACAGTTCCTCCATCATCAAAAGTGAAGAAGGCAGCTTTAGTTTTGCTTGGCTTTTGTGACATGAGTTTGTGCCAACTCCCTTATAAATGGTGCAGTGATATGACTTCTGATTTATGCATGGTCTATACAACGTGCTCCATATTTAAAGGTTCTGTTCAAGCTGGGCATGGTGTCATGCCTGTAACCTCAGCACTTGGGAGACAAAGGTGGGTGGTCACAGGTTCCAGGCCAGCTTGGGCTTCACAGTAGGATACCCTGTCTCACAAACCTAATATATAAATAAGTACATACACTCATAAATAATACATGAAGGACTCCAGCCTTGGTCTTTGGCCAGTGATTCTGTTCCTTGAGTTGCAACACCCCTCATGAACTTCCTGCTGTCTACAGTGCTTCATGTACAACAGCACATGCAAGGGCCAAAGACATGGAATCCCCTGTGCCAAGCTGGCTCCCACCACCACCATCCTCTCCCCTCCACTTACCACATAGCGCAAAACCATATGTATGCCCAGGACCCCAAATATTTCTGCATGAAGGCTTCCTCACACAGCCCTCAGGATTGCTGGAAATGGGCCATCATCCTCAAAGCTTCCACAGTCCCTCGACACCATCAGAGGGTACCTCTGAGCCGAGTGACACCTGCTCTCTGCCTCTCTAGACGGCTGCCACCCTGCTGTGACATCATTGGCATGGTGCAAGCCCCCTGGAGAACTCCCTCAACCAAATGCTAAGCAGGTGGGTACCATGGCCATGGCTCCAGGGGGCTGCTTAGAGCACTAGATTCAAAACCACTGTCACCCAGGGTGTGTGTGTGGCAAGAGTATTTTGGCAGCCCTAACCATAACATCTCATCAAATTTAATAGAGAATTATTGTAGAGACAGACCAATTACAACCCTTATTCAGCCATTTTCTGACTTCTTTGGGATCTTCGTAACATTTCACCTGGGATTGCTTTTCACAAGCTGGGTACAAGGCACCAAGAAGCCAATTTACAGGTTTTCTTAAGCATGAAGATGGTTGTCAGATAAGGATAATAACTACAGCTTAGGTTTCGAGGGCGTATATTCCAACGAAGAGAGATACAAATCTTTCCTAATCATTACCTGGCATTGGCTGCTATGAAAATTCACCCTCCCACCCAGAGTTGTAGGCTGAACAGCTGTGAGTCATCAGACATGAATGGAGTCTTAATTTGAACTGGCGCTGGAGGTAGTGGGTACAACTCAAATTAGACATGTGGTGGGCGTTTAACCACAATATTACCAATTCCCATTCTGACATCTGACAGCCTTTAATAATTAACTTCATGTAGATGGTCAAATCTTTCCTCCCTGTTGGACCAGTCTCCGGCAACGCCAGTCTCTGCACTGTAATTGCTACTTGGGATTTTCAATTGCACTGGAGACAAACCATAGGCGAAAGAACAGTCATCCCTTGAGGTTATCTGTCTTTCAATTGGGCTAAAGGCCTTCCCGGCAGCTCCTATGTGCTCTACATGGGAAGGTGGGAGATTTTCTCTGGATAAGAGGGAAAGTTGTGGTCCTTTTGTGATTGTCTTACAGAGTTCTCTGAAACTCACTGCAAGGATGTTGCCCAAACCCAAGTCTTGCTTTCTCTTTTGTGAAACCTCATCCTAGCTGCCATTTCTTTCAACATCATACCCATAGGTTCCAGGTCCCAGAGACAGAGGACGCCTAGTGAACAGCTGGGGAACTCCTAAAACTCAAGGGAAATATAACTGCATCTGGAACTATTAGCTAGCCATCTCTTGAAAAGAATGATGCCATCTTCAAACTTGGAAGCTCATGGACAACAGTCAGCTATTTCTACTCAGCCATGCTGATGAGTCCCTGATTCAGCTGATGACTGTCCACAAAGATTGTTATTCCAATTAGTAAATGACATCTTGATTGATGGTCACTACCCACATTATTGTAACCCTTACTCCACACAGGAGCTAATGATCTAATTACATTTATTTATTTGTTTGTTTGTCTGTTTTGCTTTTTGAGACACAGTTTCTCTGTGTGACAGTCTGGCTGTCCTAGAACTGGCTCTGTAGACCGGGTTGGCCTGGAATGCCTCTGCCTCCCAAATGCTGGGATTAAAGGCCTGCGCCACTGCCACCACCACCCAGAGACATTTATTTTTAGAAATGGTTATTTTTAATTTATTTATTTTATTTTGTGTGTATGAATATTTTGCCTGCATGCAAATATATGCACAATGTGTGGTGGGCCTCTTACATCCTGTGGAACTGGGTTACCGATGGTTGTAAGTCACTATACCGGTACTGGAAACCCAACCCAGGTCCTGGGCATGAACACCATGTTCTTTTAATCACTGAGCCATGTCTCCAGCCCCCAAGTTACATTTTTTCTTTTTTTGTTTTTGTTTATTATTATAAAAATAAGAGTCCCATGTAGCCCAGTTTGGCCTCAAATTTATTATGTACCAGAGGATTGCCTTGATATCTGAATCTTCCTGCCCCTGACATCCAGGTCCTGGGAGTATGTGTACACACCAAATCTGACCTCTGTTACATTTAGAGTGAAATTTTATATACTGTTGATATTAACAAAAATGAGCCAGGCATGGTGGTGC